TGTCCAGAAGACTGATTAAAAGTAATTAATTCACACAATCGAGTCCAAATCCCCGGTAAAGCACTTAAATGTGTTGACCGAAAAACGGACGAAACTTTGATTTTGTCAGACCTTGACGGAACGTGACAAGAGTTTCCCATAGAGTGAAAAGATTTCGATTACTATTCAGTTTTTAGATGTCTTTTTTTGTTTAGTCTACGTTGTGTTTGAAATCATTACTCGAGTGACTCAGTGTATCATTTTATTTGTGTTCAACACTTGGTGAGCAGCAAGGATAAAAAATACACTAGGTCACGCGAGTGATGTTTTCGAACACAGTCTTGGTTATATATGTAATGTAATTTTCTATATTCAATACATATATGTCTTCAGAAATTTTATAAGATAGTTCCAAATTTATTAAGAAATCTAATCGAGAAATGGAATACTCTGTAATATAGCACAATTGAGTATTCTATGATATATTATGTCTGTGGATACGCTGCTCCTCCCTCTAGTGTGTGCATATGTGTGTGTGTGTGTTGTGTGTGTGTGTGTGTTGTGTGTGTGTTGTGTGTGCGTGCGTGCGTGCGTGCGTGCGTGCGTGCGTGCGTGCGTGCGTGCGCATACGTATATCTGTATGATCTTTTTAATTTTTAAGTATCAATTGAATTTTACTAGTATTCTATTAATTCATGTTTGCTAACACTACTTTTAAGAATTACAATTCCTCAAAAAAGGCGACTCTAGCCCTAGATCCAGATTTGACTTTTTTTAGTGTACTGTACTTATTCTCGCCGAGTCGGACTTGTTCCTCGTGCAACTGATCCAATTTACACTGCTTTTCACCTACCTTCAGACCCTCAATTTCGGAACGTAATTCTCGCAATTGTTCCTGCAAATGTTTACTCTTCTCCAAATAATCACTCCTTTCCCTTTCAATCTCTAATGAAAGTTAATCGACATCTCCATCACCAATAAGATCATAGGATGTTAAGTCTGGTGGTAAAGGTTCTGCGTCTAGTTGCAAAGTCTGAAGATCTGCTTGTAGATCTGATGGAAGCACTTGCGTAGAGGGAAATAGATTTGGCACAGGCTGTTTTGATAAATTAAACAATTTATAAACTTTTATACATATATACATAATATATAACGATTTAAGTATTATAAAAAATATTATATCAATTTCTCCAATTGCACTGTTTATGTGTGTAGTAAATGTTAAAGTGTACTTACGGTTATGGTAGCAGTGTAGGCATTTCTACTCAGGAACTCTAACAATTTTTCTTTAGCTTCTTTTTCTGCGATCCTTGCTCGTAATAGCTCATCCTTCAACTTTTCCGCTTCAGCAGCTCTACGTTCCGATTCTTGAACCAGTCTTTCCGTTAATAATTCAGCCTCTCTAGTTTTTCGTTCTAAATGGACCTTTTCTTCTTCAGTCTTCATGTTGTTCAGCCGTATACGAGTAATTTCTTGTTTAGCTTCCGACGCTTTCTGACTTAAAAGCATTGCTTCTTCTTCTGCTACACGACTTTTCTCAGCTAAAAGATCTGCCGTTTCTTCAGATCTTCTCTGTAAAACGTAAGAACAATTGTAAAATAGATACACAGTATAAACATTCTATATACAAATAAATTTATAATTCTATGTTTTATATTTTTCTATGTTATATATTATGTCATTTTCTATTCATGTCTTACAAGAGCTTCATTCGTCTTATTTCCTCTTGATATTGCAAAAGTCGCTGTTCCATCGCAGCCTTTTCCCTTTCTGCTGCTTCTCTTAATTGTTTTTCTCATGCTAATTTATTTCTTTCAATTTGCCTCCTTAATGGTAAGATATTTTAAAAGAGATTTAGATGATTAAATATTTGATTAAGATATAATTTGAGATTACACTATGGTGAAAGTGCTAAAAGCGAGTCGCTTTATCTCTTTATAATTCTCCCCTTAGAAAGAGACAGAGCCGCTCACTTTTAGTATTTTCACTGTATTGTAAGATACAGAATTGACCCCCGGAATACGGGCCTAAGTGTCCCATTGATTAACGGATATAGAAAGAGCTTGTTAATCTCCATCAGTTGCGAAAGAATCAGTTCAACTGCAAAGAAGATCTCGTTGCAACTTACTGCTGGAATTCCTCTTCTGTTAATACTGACAGATCGTGTTGATCAAATTATCGAGTAACCACTGTTGCCTGTTGGAAACAAGAGATCTCGTAAGAATCCTGCTCGTTGTTGATACAATGTAATACGATTTTCTTACTTACTGATGCGAGCTCTGCCAAAAATTCCCGGCCATTCTATAACCAACTTGTCTGCCTGTAAACCTTTTATTGATGCTCTGAATGCACGCGGTAATCGTCTTCTCACATTTCACACAGAGTCCTGTTTAGGCTGCGTTCGGGGAGATGCTATTTAGCGCTATGAGTGTTCTCTGTCCTTGTTACTTGCAAAAGTTGAACAAGGACAGAGTACGCTCATAGCGCTAAATAGCGTTTCCCCAAATGCAGCCTTATCGAGTAACCACTTTTGGCCATTGGAAACAAGAGATCTCGTAAGAATCCCGCTTGTTGAATGATGTAATACGATTTTCCTGATTTTCCGACTTATTAAGCCAACGGCACACGATACTAGTTTTCCTACTAGATTGCTTACAAGAGCCAATCAAGATGTAGAGTTTTTGATCAGGTGACTCGAAGCTGAATCCAGTATTACGGGAATTCTGTAAGATAACTTGCTATCGATGTTTTTCGATAATAACGTTATCACGTACCGTGTACCGTTGGTTTATTTACTGATGCGACCATTCTATAACCAATATAACAATCAGTTACTTACAGTCTTTCGCCGCGCTAGTGGCACTTGAAAAGACACCTCACAACAGTCCCTAACTAATGCGACATATCAATCACGCGACACATTATTATTAATACAAAATCGGCACAAAGGTTAGGTTAGGTTAGGTTCACTCCATTTATGGGCGCTCGTATAAGTCGGTAACGCCAGTCACGTCAGCCGCGCTTGCGAGCGCCACGTGCGGCAGAAATATGAAAAGGAATTCTGGTGGTCGACGACGACGACGACGACGACGTTTCTTACGCGAAATACGCGAAACGGATTTTGCATTGCAATATCTCCACTCATGGGGAGGAGCACGTAGGAGAAAAGTAAAAACACTTTTATTATGCAAATCGTACCCAAGCTATCGATTAAGCGTAGTCTCAAGTTCGTCGGATCAGCCGTTGTTGAGATCCGAAATTCTGAGGGCCCGTCAACTTGCGCACTCGCGTAAACTACACGGTCGGTGTCGCGCGCGTGGTTTTAGCTTGTCAATTTAAAACTTTTCGCTTATACTATTCGCTTATATCGCTATAACTTTTCGAAAACTACCGTGTCTCGTGATAAATATATTTAACTCTAGACCGCACCTCTGACTTTTTTACCTTCTAACGCACCTACGAAATCAATATCGACCCCACGCTTTTTTTAATTGTAAAACCGGTCCTACAGAGATAAAGGGCCTTAATAGTACATGAATTTCTTCGTTTTTTAATAAAGAAGAGAATGGTATGCGATAAATTTAGTTTCACTCAAGTTTAGTTAAGAAAAATCCATTTAAAGTCCGAACAATGCAGAAAATCAGCAAAAACCTCATTTTTTAAACAAAAATTTGTATCTTTTTTTGTAATCAACCGATTTTCAAAATTCAAACGGGGTTCTAAAGAGGACACATTAGACTATTGGAAAAAAATTGTCATTGCTATGTTCTGTTCAAAAAGTGTATTTATTTGGGACTATGAAGATGAAGAAATTCGCAAAGTTGAAATATGGAAAAAGTCGAGGAAAAAACCATAAAAAATTATATTTTAAGTATTATTTCATTTTTATTTGATACAAAATAATATTATGAAAATTATTAAAAATTATGAAAAAGTATGAAAAATTATGATATTACTTTCAGAAATTATTATACATTATTATTATACATTATTTTATCTGACATTTTCTTCGACATTTATTTGTTATAAAAAAAATTAATTATGATACAAAATACATTTCTACGAAATGTTCCTCATTTCTGTAAAATAATGTATAATAATTTCTGAAAGTAATGTCATTTTTCAATTAACAACGTCAGTGTTGATAATTATCGCTGGCGACATTGAAGAATCCTTATTAATTTTTTACTTAACTCGTTTACTTGTTAGAAATAAATTCTTACTTCGTATTTTATTTCATTGAAATAAATTTATATCTAACAAATAAATTTTTAAGTATCGTTTTCTCAGTGTATGAGAAAATCGGTTCTTTTCATGGCCATTGC